AACAAGAGAGTGTAAAAATCGAAAAGGGGGAAGGGGGGGGGTGTTAAAAATTGAATTTATCATACCGTGTGTAATTGGGGTTAGTACCACAATATCCAAGTATCTACTTCTCAAGCATAAATGATGAAACAACATCGTTCCCAGGGCATTCGTGTGAGGACGAGCGGAGAGAAGAGACAGCCCTGGTCTGGGTCGCTCAATTTTGCATTCTGATTGGCTAACACCACATTGTCTAAAAATAGCAGACCGTTGACAATAACAATTCAACATGCGTATTTTTATGATCGTTGTGTACGAGTATATTTTCCGGCAAAAAATCTTTCAAAGTAAGAACGTGAATTGTATGTGAGCAACGACCGTTTTCAGTTTTCCCGGCTGCATGATTTACTTTCACCTTGTCCAGTTACAAAACTCAAATGCCGTGTCGACGTGAGCTGTGATATTTCCTGACAAAACAAGAAACGTCTACCTGATCGATTAAGCTGTAGTTTTCTTTGTACAGCATTATTATGCAGTGCAGATGTCGGATGAAATACTACGCGTATTGCATTGTATAGTATACTTTAATTTACAATATTCTATACTGACATCTGAAAGCAAGACAAAAAATAAAATTAATTAACCTATACTAATTTTAATAGGCTCTGGAATAGTTCTACGCGAAGGCTATGTATAGTCTCACTTGTCTGCACAAGATTCCAAGATTCGCTTGTCACGACACCTAATTTTACAGTTTCAGAATACCTCGAATACTTGAAAATTTCGGTTATACGATAAAGAAAAACAAAGATTCTGACGGGATAAACTTTGTAGGCAAGCATTGCTCCTGAACGGCAAGTGTTGGTGTAGAAACAAGCCTATATGCGGCTTGGAAATTGTGTTGAGATACAGTTGTGCATTTGGCTTTGCCTGTCACTGTGATTGAAAATCTCCACAAATGTCGGTATATCTTAGAAAACATCGACGTTGATGATGAAATAGCAGGTTGATGATGAAATACACGGCTGCCCAGTGTCGGGTTCAGAGTCCTCGCCTGTTTGCTAGCATGCCCCCTAAACAACCTGGCTGAATCTACTACTGCTAAAAAGATATGATTATAGTCAACATTATAGAATTGTTTGTGCCAAATTGTCTGCCAACATGCGAAATGCATTCAATCCACGGTGAGCATCATCGTGGGGATAGCAAAAAAACAAATTCACAACAAATGTGTCCTAATTGTGTCCTCTTTCATTATAGTCCAAATTTTCTTGTGTACGTATAATGAAGTAAATAAGCCAACACACTTAGTAGCTCATGCTTACCTTTTAACCGGGGCAAACAAGGCCCTATTTTTCTTTAGAGCGGTTCGACTTATTTAATAGGGTATACTAACCTTGTACAGGTAGACTGGGCCTGATAGAATTAAATAAATTCTGGGTAATAGTCCTTGCGTTGTGACCTCAAAAAGTGCCTAGAAAACGATTTTCATTAAGCATGTCTTAGATCTGAAATATTTTTACGGGAACTAACACTTTCGAACACGATGAGTTCAAATCCGAAAAGTTCCCACTCCGTAGACCCGTAGTTTTCTCACAAACTGCTATTTAATCTTCACTAATTTCACAGTAAATTTTCTCATTGTTTAATTAAATTAATGAAAAAAATGTCATCGCTAGACGACACATCACTTAATTAACACATGCACGCTTGTAATTAATTCATTGCGCTTTGACCTTGTCGAAGACTACATTTAGGCTCAAATTCATTGTTATATAGTTGAAAACAGTAATCTTTCAACTATTTTTGGAGTGTGGTACGAAAAATATAATAAAAATTAAAATTATAGTGTTACCATGGCAGCACTGACGTAAACGCCAACCTACGTTTTGTGTTGATCAAATACTAATACTTCATTGTTAAATCGCTGTTTGGAAAATGTAGGCTAGGGGTTGCTGCATGCATGTATTTCTACTATAGAACTATTGGACTAAATAGCTATTATTAGATAACTATTAAATTAAATTAAATAACTATTGGACACAAAATTGTGCTCACCATGCGACACGTGCGACCACAACTTTCGGAAAATCGCGTTATAGAGTATCGAAGCGCGTATATCTCCGTTCGGTTCATGAATGTAAAAGGCAAAGTAGCTAGGGCTATTTATACACCCGTTTAGCATACACCTCAACGGGAATTACCCATATGTTCTCAATTGAGAATATTCGGTATTACCCGTGCCAGACTATCGCCTGCGCTACCTGACGCTGACGCTTTCGCATATCATTATATATAAACCAATCACAATCGTCTTTCTATCACACGTTCTTCTCGAGCTTTGAGCTGCCATATTTGAAAACATTTCTAGCAGATTTTCTAGTCTATTTGCGATTCTGTGCAATGAAATGGAGATAGGAAAGAGAACTAGAATAAGCGACAACCAGAGAGATATTTTGGAAAGGTTTTACGGCCGTGGAATGGTCGGTGTTGGTCTAAATTATCGCGAAATGATCGAAAGCGCTGTAGCAGAAACTGGCTTAACAACGACTCAAGTTATAAAGGTAAATATAGATATCATAGTGATGTTAATGTTGACTATTTACTATTAAAGACACTAGATGACATACAAAAATATACTAATATAAACTAGTATCAGGCCTTGCTTGGATGAAAACCAAGATACTTGATCAATAGTGCAGCTACTGTGCATTCAAGGCACTATTTTCTACGAAGTAACTATATGACCGGTGTGGCAGTCTGGTTGCTCCCCCGGTCTGAACATTCCCCTGATACTATGCGCATGCGCACGTCAGCGGCAATCGATGTCAACAAATCCTCGCGGTCTGAGCTATCCCCCCTTCTTCTGTAGCTAGCGTTTCGAATACCTCGTCAAATACAACATTTTATCAGCGTTCGGAAGACCAAAATTTTCGTGTCACAAGTTTAAAAATGGTGCCAGAGATAGAACAAGACCCTAAAAGTGAACCTCAACCTGAGAAGAAAAGCAGAAAAGATCGTATAGCTGAGCAAAAGGAAAAATGCGAGCGGATTGTCCACTACCTTCAGCATGGAAAACATCCCGAAGGCTTGACTAAAAATCAGCAGCGGGTAGTTCGCGCCCAAGCGAAAAAGTATAGTTTGGATGAAGCAAGTAAATATAACTTTGTATTTTTTTATAAGTTAAAGCTAATGTTTATATTATTAGCGTAACAATGCAAACGCTCTTTCGAAACATTGATTGCACAATAGCACGTGCTACAATGCCACAGTAGGCTATACATTTCGCTTAATTATTTATATACAGCTATTGTATGATAGCTATAAACACAGTATAATTTGTTGTTACTGATTGCAAATTTTGCTATAGCATATTATATAGCTATTATGTTTAATAGCTATAAACACAGTATGATTTGTACTGACAAGCTAAGGCTATTAAGCCTAAGATTTAATTACAGTTTTATGGTTAGGTTTAGGGGTGAGGGTTTAGTGCACATTCGTAAGACAATATCTAAACAAATTTCACTGCTCACTCTATAATTTTTCCCAAATCAAATATTTTTATGTATTTCTTAAAGATAATGAGCTGTATTACATTGTCGGGGGTGTCCAAAAGAAGGTAGTCCTCACTGTAGAAGAAATTGGAGAAATCCTGCATCACCATCATAGCAATGCTATGGGAGGGCACAGTGGTGTGAATGCTACTCTGAACAAAATTTCAAACCATTATTATTGGAATGGAATGAAAGAAGATGTCCAAGAATATGTATGTTTGTATAGATATATTTGCTATTTTTATAATATTTACCAATTTGCAATTCACCCTGAGATGCATGCAGTAATTTTACTCTGTGAAACACCAAGAAAATTTACTTATAATTGTTACAACTTAAGATGTTTTGCCTGCAAACCACATAAAGTTATTACCAAAACTGCGGGTGCATCCTTTCGCATGAAAAATCGTATCATGTTTTCATGTCAAATCATTCAAGAATGTGACTGCATTCCTAAACGTTTTGAAATTGATATTTATAGAATATTGAAATCTGATTGGTCCGCAGGTAATTGCATTAATTAAATGTCAATGGAATTTCCCACGGACCAATCAGATTTCAATATTCTATAAATGTCAATTTCAAAACATTTAAAGAAATGCAGTCACATTCTTGAATGTTTTGACACGAAAACATGATACGATTTTTCATGCGAGAGGATCTATCCACGGTTTTGGTAATATCAAGCTTAAACCCATTGCAGTACGTTGTGGGGTTGCATTGATTTAATGACCATTATTTGTTTACTAACAATTTACTAACACTTTATGTTTTTTGAAATGTTAGATTATGTCATGTCATCAATGCCAAGTATACAGTAAAATCAAAACTCAGGCACCAGAACTTATCCCCATCAAAGTGAAGGGGGCACTAGAGTTGGTTGGGATAGATTTGATTGGTAAGTAGCACACAGTGATGAGATAGACTAAAAAAATTATGTGTTACTTTAACTGTATCTTTTTATACACATAGCAGTGTTGTAATGAGTCACCTACAGGTCGAGTCAAGTCACAAGTTGAGTCACTCAAAGGTTGAGTCATGAGTCGAGTCATTTCACTTTCTGATCGAGTCGAGTCAACGGCTTTACTCGAGTCGAATCAAAGGTTTAAGTCGAGTCGAGTCAATAGCTAAAACTGAGTTGAGTCAGGGAGTTTGATCAAGTCCACCCCACACTTTCTGTAATAGTAATCAATTTACCTTTTAAGCTAACAGCATCTGCATGGGCAGCTAGGCTGTACCAATATCACAGTTCTAGTCATTATTAATTATGACCACGTAAGATGTCTCATCATGCCTGTTGATCGAATGTACGTACATACAACTGGAGTCAGAATTAACAATTTAAGAATAGACTTTAATTAATCACGCTTTGTAGGTTAATTTAAACTGATATAGCCCCCATATATTTTCTGATAACGTTTTGAAGTTCACATTATTCATAGGACTCATTGTTCTTCCCAAGCAATACAATCAGGTAAAAATACAATCAGGTAAAAATCAGCAAGTTGAGTCATTTGGGGCTGTTGACTCGAGTAATTTTTCGTAGTGGACTCGAGTTGGGTTGCTGAATAGCAAGTCGACTCGAATCCAAGTCAATGACTCGACTCGTTACAACACTGACACATAGTGTGATTAACTTATTAACTGGTCCTTTCGATTTTATAAAGGGCCATTGCCAACAACTCCTGATGGATTTAAATATGTTTGCACATTCACGGACTACTTCACAAAGTTTGTGGATTTTTATCCCATAAAGAATAAATCTGCAGATTGTGTTGCAAAATGCATCAAAAAGTTCACATGCAGGTATGAGACTTAAGTATACTAGGTTACCTGAAAGGTAGGGAATGCTGCAGAGCATTATTTTATATCTTATTCAGAAAATATAGATATATTAAATATATATATATATATATATATATATATATATATATATATATATATATATATATATATATATATATATATATATATATATATATATATAATATATATATATATTAAATATCTATAGTTGTGACTCATTCTCAATTGACTAATTAACTGAATTAAGGGCAACAGGTTTACAGTATATGTAAATTTGTATCAATGATTTTATCTACATGGAACTAGATAAGTTATTAATTTATTAAAGTAAAGGTATTGTTTTTAGATGGGGTGCACCAGCTCGGCTATTGTCCGATCAAGGAAGAGAGTTTGTTGCCAAAATTAATGATGAGGTTTGCAGAGAGTTTGGCATAAAAAGATCAGTAACAAGTGCATATCATCCGCAGACAAATGGGTTAGACGAGCGAACAAACCAAACCCTCAAGCATCGTTTGTCAAAACTCGTCAATGAGCATCAGAACAATTGGTGTGACTTCCTAGATGAAGTGGCTTACTCAATAAGGACTCAAAAGCAGGCAACAACCAAGTACACGCCATTCTTTCTTATGTTTGGTCGCAATCCAAATTCACCTCAGATGGTAAATTGTTTGAAATTGTTCATGTGCTCAAACTTATTATCAAATAAAAACTGCATTAATTCATCATTAAATATCGTTTAGATGACTGTTGTAGAGGACAGTTCTCCAGCTCCAGATCAACTTGAGGATCTTCTGGATGAACAAGTTGGTGAAAGAACTGCTTTAGCTGAAGATGTTCACAAACAAGTATGTACTTACGTGAAGTATTTTTTACCAAGTGGTTGTGATGTATAGGCGCCTTCTGCTGTTAAATTGCTAGGTTTTGAGGAGGTTTTATATTGAAATATTATTAAATACTAGGTTACCTGCAAGGGAGGGAATGTGGCCGGTGTCCCAGGATTTTCGCCCCCTACATTTTCGCCCCCGGGGGCGAAATTCCTAGGAATATCGCCCCCCCCTAGGGGGGGCGAAAATCCTAGGAATTTCGCCCCCTTTAGAAAATATCAAATTGAAAGGCTGTGAATGGTCTGATATGTTTAACCCAATAAGCAGCATTTTACCTTATGCTCCACTTCATTTTGACCACAGGGACTTAACTATGCATCTTGTAATTATTTTAGGTTCTTAGCAATGTAGAAATTGCTCAAGAAAAGCAGAAAAAGCAATTTCAAAAGAGGATGGCAAAGGGTGTGAAAACCTTTAACATCAAAGTAGGAGACACCATTTTTAAAAAACAAATGAAAAATGTATCAAGAAAAGGTGGAAAGATGGAGCCTATTTGGATGGGGCCATACAGGTAGTTATATAGACAACCAAGAGAGAGCATTGTTTTAAAGCTGGGTTTCCCACCTTGAAATTCAGTATCTCAGATTTGGATAGTAGACATTCCAATTAAAGGGAATCTATAAAGTCATTTTTTAATGACCGCACCTCCTTACTGAATGTTTACATTTCTTTGTTTTTGACTTGTTATACTTTTAGTAAATGACAGATATATAATTTAACTTACCGGTACTGTTACTATGGTTATTGTCAAGTTACTTCTGTCTGGGACCCCCGAAACTTAAGGTGGCACGGCCGTAAAAAACGACTGTAACATTTACAATGTGGAAACATCATCCACTATTATCACTTAGTCACTAGTGTTTATCTATTTGACAAAACAATAACAAAAATACACAAAATAAGGCTAAAATGTTTTGATAATTAACAATAACTTGATGGGGAATTTTATTGAAGATCAAGAAATGTTTAGTATCCAATCGGGAAACTTACTGTTATGAAATCCAAAATTGAAATCTGGTATCCTATAGATATTGGGATACTGCAAATCTTGAGCCCTGTTAAATGTCATTGTACAGTGTACAACAACTAAATATCATCATATTAATTACATACTAGGGTAACAGAAATTGATAAAAATCAAAGAGCTACCCTTATCCCTCTTAATGATGGTGCAGTGCCTTTGAAGACAAAGGTGCCATATGACCAACTACGACCATACATGACAAGTGAGCTTTATGACATCGCTCAACGAGACACAGCTATGCCACCAAGATGTAACAACATGTCACCACATGCCCCAATTTCCAACATTGATGTCAACCATAAGGATGATACCATTACCAACACCAATACCAACACGGTCGACACCACTACCGACACGGTCGACACCACTACCAACATGGTCGACACCACTACCAACAAGGTCGACACCACTATCAACACAGTTGACACCACTATAACCAACACAGTAGACACCACTATAACCAACACGGTCGACACCACTACCAACACAGTCAACACCAATTCCAACACAGTTGACACCACTACCAACAAGGTCAACACCAATTCCAAAAAGGTCAATACCAATTCAAACATGGTCGACACCACTACCAACAAGGTCAACACCAATTCCAAAAAGGTCAATACCAATTCAAACACGGTCGACACCACTACCAACAAGGTGAACACCACTACCAACAAGGTCAAAAGGAAGAACAAAGTTGGCAAAAGCAAGAGGAATATACTGCATTGTGCTGCAAATGCAAACCCAGAAAAGCTGGTTTCAACAATATTGAAAAAAAACTACTGGCTAACTGATGAGCATATGGACCATGGACAATGGCTAATTTCCAAACAATTCCCAAAGATGAAAGGCTTTCATTCTGTACTTGCATTCGAAGGCAAAACCCCCAAAGTAGAGAAAGGGCTGAAAGACTTTGTCCAAATAGTAAATATTGGAGGAAACCACTGGGTTACTGTGACAAACATTGGATGTGAAGAAAACAGAATCAAAGTGTACGACACACTTTATCGATCAATGTCAAACACTGACAAAATTAAACTGGCAGCACTGCTTAACACCAGCTTGGAAAGTATGGTAATTGAGTGGCCATCACTCCAAATTCAAGAAGGCGATTCAGATTGTGGTCTTTTTGCTATGGCAATTGCACTTGCTCTTTGTAATGGGCAAGATCCATGTCAACAAGCGTATGATCAGAGTGCAATGAGAGTACATTTAGCTACATGCTTCCATTGTGAAGAGATTGCTGTATTTCCACTTTCAAAAGTAAAATGTAAAAGAAGCAAGAGCGTTGAAGTGACAGAAGAGCTATTCTGCCATTGTAGGATGCCTTACAAAGAAGGTGACTTCATGATTGAGTGCTCAAACTGCTTGCAGTGGTTCCACAGATCATGTGACAAAGTTCCAAGGACTGTTGGTGAACAAACAAATTTCCATTGCATAAACTGCAAATAATTCAACAAGATATAGGAATGAAAAGTAGTTTTGTAAATAGTTTGTATATAGTAAGAAAGTTCACGAAAGTTATTTCTTTAATTGTGTTTTTTATTTTTTGGAAAACTTTCATATTTTTGTATTGTTAAATTTGAAATTATCACTGATTATCATACAATCTATTGTGTACGAAGTCATTCCCAATATCCCATATTACTGGCAGAAGCAATTATTTTTGTTAATAATTATTTTGTTAAATTAAGGAATATTTTTGTATATCAGGAGATACCCCAGACTGGGGAGCATTCAGACCAATCTCGATACTCCCCAGTCTGAGTTATCTCCCTTAATTAAAAAATTATAACAAGAGATACCCCAGACTGGGGAGCATTCAGACCAATCTCGATACTCCCCAGTCTGAGTTATCTCCCTTAAAAAATTATAACAAGAGATACCCCAGACTGGGGAGCATTCGGACCAATCTCGATACTCCCCAGTCTGAGTTATCTCCCTTAAAAAATTATAACAAGAGATACCCCAGACTGGGGAGCATTCAGACCAGTCTCGATACTCCCCCGTCTGAGTTATCTCTCTTAAAAAGTTATATCAGGAGATACCCCAGACTGGGGAGCATTCAGACCAGTCTCAATACTCCCCTGTCTGAGTTATCTCTCTTAAAAAGTTATGTCAGGAGATACCCCAGACTGGAGAGCATTCAGACCAATCTCGATACTCCCCAGTCTGAGTTATCTCTCTTAAAAAGTTATAACAAGAGATACCCCAGACTGGGGAGCATTCGGACCAGTCTCTATACTCCCCAGTCTGAGTTATCTCTCTTAAAAAGTTATATCAGGAGATACCCCAGACTGGGGAGCATTCAGACCAGTCTCGATACTCCCCCGTCTGAGTTATCTCTCTTAAAAAGTTATATCAGGAGATACCCCAGACTGGGGAGCATTCAGACCAGTCTCGATACTCCCCAGTCTGAGTTATCTCTCTTAAAAAGTTATAACAAGAGATACCCCAGACTGGGGAGCATTCAAACCAGTCTTCATACTCCCCAGTCTGAGTTATCACTTTTAAAAAATTATAACAAGAGATACCCCAGACTGGGGAGCATTCAGACCAGTCTCGATACTCCCCAGTCTGAGTTATCTCTTTTAAAAAATATACAAAAGTGATCATATTTATAAAGAAATAATACGATATTTAACAGCCTTACCATATCTAACAATGTGCCTTCAAGAAAGTGCTTTTAAAGTCTTTTTTTTTTGTAAATAAGCAAAGATAAAAAGCAGAAATATATGTGGGGATAATGGTAACTCAGACTGGGGGAGCGTTCAGGCCAGCTAGCTACGTGCTCAGCGGTCCGCTCTTTTCACGCATGCGCAGATAATCAAAACGGATAACTCAGACTGGGGGAGTGCTGAGACCGTGACACCGGCAGGGCATTTGAAATTAATAATTTGGATTCTTGCACTTCACTTGTGGAATTAATATTAGAATGTTAGGGTTTGTAATCCAAGTGAGAATATATACATCTATATATTTTGTAATCCAAGTGAGAATATTTTGTAATCCAAGTGAGAATATACAAATGTACCGGTATAGTACATGTATATATTTGGTGTATATATTTTGTAATCCAAATGAGAATAGTTTGTAATCCAAGTGAGAATATGCAAATGTATATATTCTCACTTGGTTACAAACCCTAACATTCTAATTTAATTCCACAAGTGAAGTGCAAGAATCCAAATTATTGAAGTCCACCTATCACAACCCGCACACCCGATTACCTAAATATACATGAACTTACGTTAAAGCTCACAGCTGGCTCTGTAGCTCAGTTGGTTAGAGGCTGCACCGGAATCGCAGGGCGTAGGTTCAATTCCTACCAGAGGACCTTGTGCTGCATTTTTCGCAGTCGATCCTGGTTAGGTCTTAAAATGTATATATTCTCACTTGGATTACAAACCCTAACATTCTAATATTAAGTCCACCAAGTGAAGTGCAAGAATCCAAATATTGAAGTCCACTTATCATAACCCCACACCCGATTACTTAAATATCATGAACTTACGGTTAAGCTCAACAGCTGCTCTGACCTTGTGCTGCATTTTTCGCAGTCGTTCCTGGTTAGGTCTTAAAATGTATATATTCTGACTTGGATTACAAACCCTAACATTCTAATATTAATTCCAACAAGTGAAGTGCAAGAATCCAAATTATTGAAGTCCACCTTATCACAACCCGCACACCCGATTACCTAAATATACATGAACTTACGGTTAAAGCTCAACAATGGTTAGAGCGCTGCACCGGAATCGCAGGGCCGTAGGTTCAATTCCTACCAGAGGACCTTGTGCTGCATTTTTCGCAGTTGTCCCTGGTTACAGTAGGTCTTAAAATGTATATATTCTCACTTGGATTACAAACCCTAACATTCTAATTTAATTCCACCAAGTGAAGTGCAAGAATCCAAATTATTGAAGTCCACCTTATCACAACCCGCACACCCGATTACCTAAATATACATGAACTTACGGTTAAAGCTCAACAGCTGGCCTCTGTAGCCCAGTTGGTTAGAGCGCTGCACCGGAATCACAGGGCCGTAGGTTCAATTCCTACCAGTGAGAGGACCTTGTGCTGCATTTTCCGCAGTTGTTCCTGGTTAGGTCTTAAAATGTATATATTCTCACTTGGATTACAAACCCTAACATTCTAACATTTGAAATTAAGGATTTGGAGGTTTTGCGATCACTGATAACTTGATAATAATATAAAACAAAACACTTCTATCTGCAACTTTTACTATCACTGATAACTTGATAATAATTTAAACCAGTCAAGTTGTAGTTTAAATAGAGAATAATACATGGGTGCACGAAATACCAGATTTATTTCGAGTGTTGAACATGAGTGCGGAGCGAACGAGTGAGATGTCATGTTCAACACGAAAAATAAATCTGGTATTTCCAACCACCCATGTATTTTTCTGTTTATTATATAAAGGACAGTCTTTGAAAAGCCATAATTTTTACAGAAAAGCGATAATTGAAAAGGCGATAATTTTCACATGTGAGATTATCATGAATAATTTCACATGTGAGATTATCATTTTTATCAGTGCTCGAAATCTCTTTAAAATACTCATTAATAATTCATAAACCTTGTGGCAAATCATGATCATGTCAGCCATAATATGTCACGTGGAGTGACTTTATATCTGATTAAACAGATGTGGCATTGTATAATTGTTCATCTTAATTAATTAGCATGGTTATACTACAAACCTCGAAATTCGCCTCGGCACTCGGCAACTGCCGACGAAATTGCCGAGGCAAGTTACGATTTTTCATAGTTTGCCTCGGCAAAAAAATGCCGAGGCAATTTCACCCGTTATAACCTTGAATTACAAACTACAGCGCCGGTTCGTTTTTCGGACCAATCTCGATACTCCCCAGTCTGAGTTATCTC